CGCGAAATCATCTAAGCCGTCTAAATAAAGTCGATTAAAGACCTAGTCACGTGAGAAGCACATGCAGCTTACAACCTTTGAAAAACAGTAGAAGAAAGATCTTCACAGAAGACGAAATCCGCAGACCCTCTATGAGCCATCCCAGAGGCTCTGCTGTAATTGACTTGTATGATCTTATTGCCAGAGGACCATTTTCCAGAACCTCTGTGAGAGACATCAGAGGTTCTGTCACATTTTACTTGCACGATGAAACAGCTTCTGTTGCTAGTCCTCTGTGGAAGATACCCTTCTGTCAACACTTGCAGAATACTTTTTCATACTTTTACAAGAAGTGAATATTAGAGCTAACACCACTTTTTAACAAAAGTCGGCTAACACCTCTCACTCACACAATCCTATATATATATATATATGTATATATATCTATACTACTTTATTAAGCATGTTCATCTAAAGTCTTAAAGTCTTAAATTTATAAATACCTAAAATACCCTTAAAATCTTAATCACAATACAATCAACATAAAGTACAACTTCTTGATACATACTGCAAACACGCCTCCCTCCTTTTGCTTTTTTCAGACTCCACTCTCCCCAAAGCTACAATTCCCAAAGCGACCATTTAAAAAATCTATTCCCATACTCAAATACACTCCATCTCTCCCAAAGTGTCGATTCAAACTCTATTGATTTCCATGATTTAAAATCAGATTATGATTCAAGGCTCCATTCAAACGCTTCTCGATTCCTCGATCCTTCCGTCGCTCCACGATCCAGGTAATCGATTCGAACTCTGATTATGTAAATGGTTAGGGTTGATTCCATCCYTCCTCGATGCAGGTAATCGATTCAAACTCTGATTATGTAAATGGTTAGGGTTCATTCCATCCCTCCTCGATCCAGATAATCGGTTCAAACTATGAGTATCTAAATAGTTAGGGTTCACTGTCAATTCACTTTAATGTGTACATTTTTYCCCCCAACAATTTCATCTTGCTTTTATATCTCTCTTGATTTGATGCTCATTGACATCTTCAATCTCCTKATTCGATTCTTCCATGGTTTCTCTGTTTTGTTTTGTTTTTCATTGACATGTTCAATCTCCTGATTCGATTCTTCCATMTGTTGTAGTTTCAGAATAGCAGGAGGGTAGATAGATGGTTTATGGATAGGAAAACATCCAAAGAATCTTGATTCGAGACAGAMCCATTGTCATTTTTTGAGTTTAAGATGTAGAAGATAAAKAGTAGCAATAATAGTTTAAAAATGTACCATTTTCCTCCATCTTTSGTAGATATTACGTCCGAGATTTTGCATAGGTTAACAAACATCCAYGAATATTATACCTTCTATAACTATGATGAATCAAGATTTCAATTTTCTATAATGAATCAAGAAATGCAGCCCTATAAATATGGGTTCTTTCAACGAGGAAGTAAGACCCAGATGCTTTTTCTTTTCATTAATCTGGCGTGATTAAATCTACAGCTGTTAACCACGAGGTAAGATCCAGATTTTTCATGTTATTTTTAGTGTTAATCTTCTGTAATAGGTTTGTCTTCTTAACACTATTGGGGATGATCTTCTAGAGTGTACAAGGAGGAACATATAGGATATGATGTTGCTGGAAGAAAATCAAGGACAGAGACTGTATAATGTTACCCTAAAGAGTTATAATTTTGTCTCAAGAAGCTATTGTAGGTGCATTGCATTTACCCATCTTATATTATATTGGCCATGGGACATGAGTGAAAGCTAATGTGTTCAATCACCTTAAATTTTCAAGGAATCCAACATTTTGAACTAGCTACCAACTTAACAAAATGCATCTATTTTTACTACAGGTGTGTATCATATCTATCTGAGTTAGTATTAGAGCCAAAAAAATTAGTATACGTGCAACTGAAAAACAATCAGCCAATTTCTGTCTAGCAAAATCTTGACTATCTCAAYGTTTCCACTGCTTGCTGCTGAATGCAGTGGTGCTCAACCTTCTTCATCAGCACCGTTAATACCACCAACTGAGTGATCAAAAGCTGAAAGTATCTTCACCACCTGATTTATTGAAATTAATATAAGTGYTAGAAAAAAGKCATTCACCAGATTTATTGAATGCCTTTTTTCTAATATGTAAAGTGGCATTCAACTGATTTATTGAAATTAATATAAGTGTATATATGTATATGTGTGTGTATGCATAGATATTGGATTAGAAGCAGAGATCTGGAGTTCCATTGATGAGCAATAGAATCTTGTAACCCTAAATGATGAAAATGTAGATGGGTATAAAAGGCTGTAGTACTTCTGATATTTCTTTTGCATTGTATATATATATATATATATGTGTGTGTGTGTGTGTGTGTGTGTTATGTTACTATATATAATCTCTATAACCCAAGTTTTAGATGTAATATCTTGGAATGTCAGAAAAAGATCTTGTAGGTAGGTTAAGTCTGCAAATCCCATTTAAGAAACTAAAGGGTTTTTTTAATTTTTAGTTGGGTGTTGCTGTATGACCCTCTGTATACTGGAATYAGGTTAAATCATGTATTGAAAATGTAAAAAGTAAGTMWTGATGTTAATGTGCCTGAAGAAAATTAGGAGGTAGGGATGTATTTAGACCACTCCTTTTTAGTTTATGGGTGTTTGGCATATGCATGCCCTGTTTATATCAGAATCAAGTTAAATCATGTATTGGAAATATAAAAAGGTTAAAAAGATGTGAGTTTTGGTGTACTAATTCTGTTAAATTCTTGATATTGTAAAGAAATCCATGACTATGATAGCTACTATGTTGTGCTGTTGTTGCTACATCAGTCCTAATTTGGGCTATGGATGTTTCCCTTTGATGATAGATACAGAAACTATACCTATAATGTGCTGGTGCTCATTGTTGTTCTTTCCAAGATCATTTAGGGTGATTAAAACTCTTTAAGTGGACCTTTAATGGTGTAAAAACAAAGTGAGTATGATTTAAGGGCCTTTTTTTCTTTCATTTCTGTAGCTAATTTCACCTGTAAATGCTTCTGTTTTGATCAATCGGCTGAAGGGTGGAGTGACTTTACTCAAATACACAAGATGTTCA